CACAGTTCCCCAGCTTACCCATGAGGACATCATGGGGAACTAGGTCAAACACTTTCTTGCAATCCAGATATGACAGCCATGTCATCTCCCTTATCCAGGGCACATGTTGCCTGGTCATAGAAGGAGATGAGGTTGGTCTGGCAAGACCTGCTAGTCACAAAGCCATGTTGGCTGGCCTTCAGAAGCTTGCGTTCCGTTCATCTGGTGTTGATGGATCCCTTGACAATTTTCTCCAGGATTTTTCCAGGGATGGACATCAGACTGATTAGTCTATAATTCTCCGGGTCATCCCTCCTCCCTTTCTTGAAGGTAGGGACAACATTGGCTCTTTTCCAGTCTTCTGGGACCTTGCCCAAGTGCCACAAATTTTCAAATATCTTTGCCAAGGAGGGTGCAATGATGTCTGCCAACTCCCTCAAGACTCTTGGGTGTATTTTGTCTGGGCCTGCAGACTTGATAATGTCCAGTTTCTCAAGGTGTTCCCTCACCTGATCCAGATCAATTTTGGGTCCGTCACCCGCTCCCAGGATGGTTTGTGTCCTTTCTGATAGTGTGATCCCCTTGGGAGGGTGAAAAACTGATGCAAAAAAGTCATTTAGTAGATTGGCCCTTTCTCGGGCGTCGAATGTCAGTTGCCCTGTTAGATCTCACAGGGGCCCAATGCTATCTTTGTTCTTTTTTCAACTTCCCACATATCTGAAGAAGGACTTTTTGTTGTCCTTGATTCCCTGAGCTACTTTGAGTTCAGTTTGTGCCTTGGCTTTTCTGGACCACTCTCTACAGGTGCGGGCATGTGCTGAGTAGTCCTCTTTGGTGATGCTTCCTGTTTTCCAACTGGTATAGGCTTCTCTTTGGAGTTTAATGAGGTCCAACAGTTCCTTGTTCAGCCAAGGGGGCTTCCTTGCCTGTTGACTACATTTCTTGTGAGATGGCATGGCTTTCCCTTGTGCTTCAAGGATTGTTTTTGATAGATGACCATTCCTCATGTACTCCCTTTTTAAGGGGGGTATGGCCTCTAATTGCCTGCCTGACCAAATCTCTAAGTTTGCAAAAGTCAGCCTTCACAAAGTTAAGGATTTCTGTTTTACTGAGCGATTTGCCTGCTCTTCAGTGAACTGAGAAGTTGACCAATTCATGGTCACTGTCACCAAGCTTCCTGTTGATCCTCACATCATTCACCAGGTCCTCCCCTTTCCCCAGGACCAGATCAAGCAATGCCTCTCCCCTAGTCGGCCCATAGACCTCCTGCGTCAGGTAGAGGTCATCAGTGGAAGCGAGAAAGCTATGCAACCTGTCAGATTTGGCCATGTGCTCATCCCAAGAGATGTCAGGGAAGTTGAAGTCCCCTATGACTATTATGCATTGGGAGCACGCAGTCTCGACCAGTTCCCTGTTGAATTCCTGATCTAGTTCTTCTTGGTGGGGAGATATATAGTAGACTCCTACAAGTATGTCACCCTCCCCATGTTTTCCCCATATTTTGACCCAGATGGTCTCAAGACACCTTTCCTGGTTAGAAAACTCAATTTGCAGGGAAGTGAACTGATCCTTGACAGAGAGCAACACCCCCAACCCTCTTCCCAACACGGTCTCTACTATACAAGGTGTAACCCTCTAAAGCAACAGACCAATTATAGGTAGAGTTCCACCAGGTCTCCGTTATCCCTACAAGGTCATAGTCATTTTCACATAGGAGAAGGACCAGTTCCTCTGGCTTGTTTACCAAGCTCCTGGCGTTTGTGTACAGTCAGTTAAGTCTGCCATGAGAAGCCCAATGCTTCCCTATGGGGTGAAGTTGTTACTTGAAAATTGCCAATTGCTCAAATGAAGAGTGAGAACTTATAAAGAGGGATAAGGCAAAATGCTGTGTTTTATTGATTATACGAAGCAGATACACAAGCTTTGACACACCAGTCATACAGAGACATACACAAGCATACATACAAACAGACATACAGACAAAACCACTCCAGTAAGATGTTATAGTTACCAGCAAAAGTTACTCAATATTAGCACTGGGTGGTCAAATCCAGGCTTATTGAGGATGATGGGAACGGGGGACGAGCGTGGCAGAGCGTGGCCTGTGCTCCATGATGTTGCAGAGAGTGGATTTCCCCATCTTGGCTTGTCTGCATCTCACTTTTTTAGGGATTTCAAGTCTTTGTTCAGCATTGGGGTTTTTCCATGCTCAGTTTTTAATTAGAGGTTGTTTCTTCTGGTTATCTCAACTTGAGGTCATTTCAGTAAAGTTGGTATCTCAGAATTGGTATTTCAGTCTTGATCTCTGCCTTGAAGCATTGTGTAGTCGGTATCTCTGTCTTGAAGCATTGTAGCTGGTATCTCTCCCTTGAAGTATTGTGTAGTTCAAATGGCAGGATATGCAAAATTCCTTCTTCTTTGCACCTGATCACAGATGAGTTCTTCAGCCATCCATTAATTAGCTTAATCAGTTTACTGTTTGGTAACTCATACATTGGCGCCTTGTTGCTTACACAGTCAGTTAAATCTTCTGTTTTCATGCAAATAGTTACCATTCTTTCACCATTCACCCTCTCACGCAGACACACATGTACACAGGACATACAAAGCTCATCTACTTATGTCAAGCAGGGAACAAGCACAAAATGGAGTTTTCATAGAGGTTGATCAATTCAATACTATTATCATTTAAACATAATAACTAATATGCAAAAATTCATACTACTAAGTGGGACCTTTCTCTGGGCTGTCATCAGAGCAGGTTCCCTTGGGCTGCCCAAGTTATTAGTAATGCAGCTGACATGACTTGGGCTAGAACTGTTAATAGACCTCCCATCCCCCTCCAGTCTTAGTTTAAAGCCCTGTCAAGAAGGTCAGCCATTCTGGCCGAGAAGAGCTTCTTCCCTTTCCAAGTGAGATGGAGGCCATCCCTTCCCAACAGTCTGTTCTCTCTGCAATGTGGACTGCAGTCAAGGAAGCCAAACCCTTCACGATGGCACCATCGCTGGAGTCTTCTGTTCACCTCACTGATGCACTTTTCCCTTTATCTGTGCCCCCAGACTCCTGTGTGCCCCTCTGTCTTATATAATTGGGAAATGCCAAACAGAATTAACTCTAGGGACCAAATACTAATAAATGTTTAAACACCGTTTAAAGAAACATTTTAGCTATGATATGTCTTTTAATATTCTTTTTCGTAAATTAGACAGGGCCTTGTGTGGAAATTTACATGGATCTTTAGATGTTATGCATTACAGATATGAAGTGAGGGGGTGAGAAGTGTGGTGCCAGCCCTATGGTCCACTTTGGAAGTAGAAGGAGATAAGGTGTTTAGAGTAATATGTATGTGGAGAAGGTTTGGCGATACAGGATCAGAATTAAAGGAAGAATTGGAACCTTAATTTCTAGTATGCATTTTGAGGGGGATGAGAATCTAGAAACATTGGTTTAGAGGGGATTATCTTCTCAGTTGTTACTCTTTCTTAAATTTATTAAACCTAAGAATTTCCTTATAAGTGAGAAAAATTATGCACTTGAAATCAAAAGCACGAACAGAGTTTGAGTCTGCCTTCTGTGAGACATGTATTTCTTCAGTGCTAGTTTAGAGCAGGTATTCTCAATCTTTTTGGATTCAAGGCACCCCTTGGAAGAGGGTAGCTGTTAGTTTTTGCTCTTTTTTTTTTTTTTTTTTTTAACATATAGAAACAGATAGAACAGTTCTTTTGTTGCAAAGAACTCAGATCACAGCAGGGCAGAATGCTTTTGACATTATGAATTTTTATTTGAAATCTCTGGGGATTCACAGATGTTAGGGTCGGAAGGGATCTCAATAGATCATCAAGTCCGACCCCCTGCATAGGCAGGAAAGGATCATGTTGAGGTCATGTTGATCAGGAAAGGATCTTTACACGTGCTTTGTGGTAGGCAGGAGCACTTTAATTAGAGTAGCTCTCAGGAGCCACTTTAGTTAGCATCTTGTGTATTCAGTGCCCACACTTCAAAATGGTGTTGGGAGTGCTTTAATTAAAGCTCGTTCAACAAACTAACATTGTATGGCAACCTGCAGCACCATTGAAAGCATCTCAAGGCACCCCAGGATGCTGCAGCAACCTAGTTTAATTGTTTTGGACAAATCTAGGACTTTCATAATAGCCTCAAGTGTGGTTCTTGAGTAGTGAGAGAGATAGACTTGTATCTAGTAGTAGTCCCACATTTGCATCCTCAGTGAACACTTAAGCTATGCTGTGAACGTATGAAGTTTGCAGGTTCCGTAAGCTCCATTTCTCACTGAAGTTGTAAGCTGAGTCACTGGTTCAGTTGGAAATGCAGAGCTTCTATACTTGTGCAGGGAGGTTGCTCTGATTAATCGAGTTTGCTGGAACAAACTAATTGCTGCACTTCAGCAGACTCCAGTGTCACATGTATCAGCATCCCTGAGCTGGAAAATGGCAGTGGAGTGCTTTAAACTAAAGCTCATTCGAAGAGCTTTAGTTCAAACCGTCCCATTGCCATTTTTCAGTGCGGCAACGCATGGCGCTCCAGGTGCTCTTAATTAGCATGGCTCTCAGAGCTGCACTAATTTAAGCTCCTCCCTCTCCCCTGCCTCCTGGAGCACGTCTATAAATGCCCGAGGAGTTCAGTACGGACCACTGAATATGTTATGCCTCAATCCTGCATTATTCAACATATCCAGGACAAATGATGGCCCTAACATCATGGAGTCAACACTGGCATGTCCACCACTCAAGGGTCTGGGGAATTTTCCTGTAACATGCTTGGGATTTGTTGTCTCTTAACCCATATTCAAATATAAGTAAATCTTAATCATTTTATGTAATTTTATATGGAATCATGGAGGCATGACCAAAGTAACTATATATCTATATATATTTAGATAGATATAGATATCTAAAGTGTGTGTGTTCCCATATTTAAAGAAAGCTGGAGTTTTTGGGGTTGTTTTCTGGGGGGAGTTTTTGGTTTGTTCTTTTACAGATCTCATTATTGTTGTTGTCTTACAGTGAAATAAATGCCAGACTGGATGCTGTCTCTGAAATTCTCCTGTCAGAATCCAGTGTATTTGGTCAGATTCAAAATCATCTGTGTAAGATGCCAGACGTAGAGAGGGGACTGTGTAGTATTTATCACAAAAAGGTAAGCAGTGAACTATCACATCACAAACTCTGTTCTCTAAATATTTGTTGATATCTATACATTTACTTTCATAAGTTTTTCAGAAGCTTAAGCATATTTATTTATGCATTTATTTATTTACTTTAACTTTAGTAAGGATAAAAGCTGACATAAAGACAAAAATATACTAATAGTTTCTTTGATTTCAGTTAGTCTGGTTATATCACTTGAATTGATAACATAGTATTGGAGGAAGAAATGATTTGGAAAATAAATACAAATTGTGTTCATATCAGTGATTTTTTATATATATATAGTGTTTTTTTAGTTTTGTTACCGTGCTCGATGGCTATTACATGAGAATAACCCAGTAATTGAGAGTGACTTCACTGGTTATTTCTTAAAACTACATTTAATACTGTATGCTCATCTAAAAATCACATTGGTAAGTGAAAACCACTTTACTGTAGTTAAGTGTTAATGTTTTCAGATTATGTTAATTTGTTTATAAATTCTATAATTTAGATTTTGCTTGAACATTTTAATAAGAATTACTTGTAATGAGACTCTGGCAATTCATAGCTGAAGCAGATTAATGTGCTAATAACACCTGTGCTGTACTTCATGTTCTTTTATTTCCCTGTTATATTTAGAGATTTTGACAGTTTGTTTTAGATAAAATAGGTGGGAAGAGGGAGAACAAAGTTGTAATTTCTTTTGATGGTATAGTGAAAAAGATCGGTCTCTTTCAAAAATCGAAAGTTAGATCTTGAATAACTAGTTGGGGCTTAATTCAACAATGTATTTTGCCTATCCACCCATATACAGGATGTGAGAGGAAAATTGCAGTAATATATTTTTTAAGTGCCCTGTTTCCATGGAATGCTGCTCTACCAAATTAACTGACCAGTTTGTGTGAATTGGTTAATAAACTTAATGAACTTTGAAAGTTAATTTCAAGATGAAGTAGCATGAAATAAGTTTTTTGTATGGAGGCATCTATAGTTTTAAGTAACTTGACAGTCTTCCCACTGCTATGTTGGAGTACATTGCTTTGTGTCAGGACCCACCTGTCTCTACCTGTGGGCTCTATTTCTTTGAGGTCATGTTGATCAGATGGCAAATCCCTGTTAAAATGCTAGCACTTTCCAGGAGCACTCCATTTGCAATTACTCCCTGGCTCTTGTATCCTTTTCAGCTAGCTGTACAGCAGTGATGCCTCATGCATCTGTGTGAAGCTATATAGAAGCTTTGGATTTCTTTGTGATCTGAAATGAGACCGTTCATTCTTGCTGTAAAAGCAACCACTGTAATGCAAATATGGAGAAGTGTTGCTCCCAAAACAGCTTAATGCTGCAGCGAAGGAAAGGAGCTCCAGTAGAATTATGCACTGAAGAAAGAGATGCGGATAGAAACAGGATTTGTCCTGCCCTTGAGGAGTTGGATTTATGAGGAGGAGGACACAACTGAATCCCAGTATGTGTGCACAGCACTGTGGACATTAAGAGAGCACAATCACTCAGCCTTATTAGGACTTTCGGTCAGACTCCTCTGATTTAATGTCAGCTACATTAGGAAAAATTAAAAGGACTTTGCTTAATATTGTGTGCGCGCTCTGAGCTTTTGTCAGTGTTCATATTCTATGTGGTATCTTTCCCAAAAGTGAGACCTCTATCACATAGAGAGGAAGTGCTTGGCTTGCTGTGACGAAACTCAGCAATATCAACCCCTTTGGTTTGGAACAGTTTCTTTGGAATTTCTGTTTGCTGTCCTCTCTGCACATCTCCAGGCGATTAAAAACAAAGGATTAAGGCAAAGATAGTTCCTGCTTTATTGCCATGGACATTGTAAGGCAAAGGAGACTTGGGGGTTACTTGTAGAGGTAGAATTGCCCTTCCAATGCAGCACCGTCTATAGGGGACCAAAGTGGTGAGTAACATAGCTGCGTATTTTCCTGGTCTGCTCATTGCCTTCTTGAGAGAACCACTTCTTTGCCATTTGGTGACTCAGATGAAGGTAATTTTCCTTAATTTCAGTTGCAGTTGCTGATGTTCCCTGCAAACCTGTTATCAGTAATGCATGCATACACCAAGCCCAAAATATGAAATCCTCTTGCATATCTACCTTCGGACACCCACCATCTCAGCAACGTAGGAGTAGAGTAGGGTTCCTATTTTGTATGGGAAGTTAAGGTGGAAAATGATGTTTCATTTTCAAGCTCACATCAAACTAGAAAGAGTATGGGAGCAGCATTCGGAAGCTGAGGGTGAAACAATGTTGTTATTGTTTCCATGGAGACTGGCATTGGTTCTTTTTCTCCATCCCTTTAGTTCCTGCACTGGATTCCTCAGGTTCTCTATGGTTAGATGCGTCACTCACCACAGAACATGCATCAACTCTCCAGGGCAAGGAAAGGAAAACTGAAAATGAAATGTTTGCAGAGCTCTTGTCATCATCCCTGAAGAAATCTAAGACGACAGAGAAGTGGAAGGAAGAACTCTGTGTGGAAGGAGGGAGAGCGAATTGACAAGGGACACACTTGGAAAAAGCAAGAATGAGCAGAACAGTCAGTCTTCCTAGAAACAGATTCATAGGTTCATAGACATTAGGGCTGGAAGGGACCTCAGAAGATCATCGAGTCCAGCCCCCTGCCCCAGGAGCAGGAAGTCAGCAGGGATCATAGGATCCCAGCAAGATAAAGATCCAGTTGTCTCTTGAAGGTGCTCAAAGTGGGTGCTTGAACCATGTCCAGTGGCAGTCTATTGCAAACCCTGGGGGCTCGGACAGTAAAGAAGTTCTTTCTTATGTCCAGCCTGAAATGGTCATGGAGGAGTTTGTGACAGTTTGGGACAGTGTTCACATCTGGCATCATAACCTTACTATGGCAAAATTGCCAGTAAACTTTTAAATAGGCGCTTCTTTGCTTCACCTCCCCAGGAGCATGAAAGCAAGGAGTCATGGGACCCCACCTTTACATCTACAATAATAAATGCTGTAATCTGCATTTTTATCACATCAAGGCAGAAGCAGACAGTAATCCTGTACTACACATGTGTGTGGCTAGTGCAATGCAAATGTATAGACGTACAATATTTTTAGGCATATGTTCTTCCTTTGTATAAAGTTTGTTCCCTTAGGGCATGTCCACATCAATGCACATGTGCCTCTTGCAGCATCCCAAACCAGTTTGAGATGCTGCAAGAGGCACACTGGGAACAAAAAAAAGGTTCCCTGTGCTGCATGTTTGGTGCAGCGGGGAGCACCACGAGGCCAGGCAAGGTGCCATCCCCACGACAACTCTGGTGGGCTGGAGGACACGCTGCCACCGCGCAGGACCTGGTTGGCAAGGGCAAGAGCAAGGGCATTGGGAGATGGGGCAGATTTCACCTCCTGGACCAGATGGCAGGTCGCATGTGTAATGGGTTGACCCATGTGCCGGGCCAACACAGCAGGGTCCACCCACTCCTGCCTATTGTAGTCCAGAAGGTCTCCGATATGGATGACACCAGTCAGGATCAGCCTCTGTTGCAACCAGGGCACCTCTGCTGTTGGCATCTCCAGCTGGAGGTTCCAGAGGAGGGACTCGATGAGCAGGTCAGCACCCTGAGCGAGCGTTGCAAGGGAACTGGAAGCAGAGACCAACCTCCAGGAATGGAAGAGGTCTTGGCAGAACTCTGGCAACCCTCGCAGGTCCTGCAGGGAGAACCCCTGCAGGCTGAGGAGCTGCCAGTTGTATGGGAGCCGCAGGAAGTGTTGGAGGACAGCGTGACCCAGGTGGCCCCATGCTGTGTGGCTACCAACACCGTATAGTAGTTGCTGCAGGGCCTGAAGGTAGAACGTCAAGACCCGGCTGCGGAGGCAAACCAGGCCCTGGCCACCTTCCTGCAAGGGGAGGCTCAGGACCTCTGCAGTGACCCAGTGCCATCCAGGCCAAAAAGGTCCAGCGCCCATCTCTGGAGCCCTGCCCCTACCTCAGGGGCACAGAGGTGTGTAAGCGGTGCTATAGCATGGACAGGACCATCTGGCTCAGCACCTGCAGTCTCCCATGCAGGGAGAGACACCTCACGAACCCTGCCCATGTCCAGAGCTGCTCCACCACCCTTGTCTCCAGCTGGTGCCAGTTTTCCAGCAGGGAGGGGTCTGTGGGGGGACAGGTAGATCCCCAAGTAGAGCAGTGAGCCTGCACTCCAGCAGATCCTGTGGGGCATGGCTGGGAGTGAGCCCACCTGTCACCCACCACCAGGTCATAGCTCTTGACCTATTTGACCCGGGCAGAGGAGGCCGCTGAGTACAATGCCTGGCAGGCCTCCACCTGTGCCCGGTTGCCCGAGTCCTGGACTGTGAGGCGTACATCATCAGCATACACTGACAGGACCAGCCTCATTGCCGGCTCCCGGAATATGAACTCTGCCACCCGCCTCCGCAGGAAAACGAGGAAGGGCTCCAGGGCCAAGGTGTACAGGTGGCCTGACAGTGGGCAGCCTTGATGCACCCCTCTCCTGAATAGAATGGGCTCCGTCAGGGTCCAGTTTGAGCTTGACCAAACACTCTACAGAGGCATACAGCACCTAGAAAGCCCTCACAAAGTGGGGCCTGAAGCCAAAGGCTCACAATGTGCCTGTGAGGTACCTGTGATCCACTCTGTCAAATGCCTTCTCCATGGACAGGAGGGCAAATGACAGGCCCTCCCAGTGCCGTAGCTCCAGGAGCTCTTAATAGAAGGCTCATGTGCACCAGCATATCTCACTGCAATCATGAGGGGGGTGCTGTCACCCACCAGAAGGCAGGTGATGTACTTTTTGGTCCCCCGCCTCCTGTCCAGGGCATAGAAGTGGAAGCCATGGTCCATCTCCTGAAGGAGCTGGACACATGAGCAAAAAATGCACTGTGGGTGCTGTCATCGTCCAGAGCGCAAAGCTCTTCCTGCCTCTCCCAACATTCTCTGCAGAGGGATGAGTTGGTTGGGTCGGTAGCCACTTCCTGCTTGAGCTGCTCTCGAACTGCCTCCCTCTGCCGGGTTT